GGGGGGGGGGGGGGGGTGGTATTGGTTGACAGCTGGCTGAATATGAGCCAGCAGTGTGTCTAGGTGGCTAAGAAGGCCAATGGCATCCTGGCTTGTATCAGGATTAGTGTGGCCAGCAGGGACAGGGAAGTGATCTTGCCCCTGTACTTGGCGCTGGTAAGGCCGCACCTTGAATACTGTGTTCAGTTTTGGGCCCCTCACTACAAAAAGGACATAGAGTTACTCGAACATGTCCGGAGAAGGGCTACAAAGCTGGTCAAGGGTCTGGAACACATGTCCTGTGAGGAGCAGCTGAGAGAGCTGGGATTGTTTAGTCTGGAGAAGAGGAGGCTGAGGGGAGACCTTATCACCCTCTACAACTACCTGAAAGGAAGCTGCAGAGAGCTGGGTTTGAGCCTCTTTAGCCCAGTAGAAAGTGTCAGGACAAGAGGAAATGGCCTCAAGTTGTGCCAGGGAAAGTTCAGACTAGATATTAGGAATCATTTCTTTACAGAACGGGTTGTTAGGTGTTGGAATGGGCTGCCCAGGGAGGTGGTGGATTCCCCATCCCTGGAGGTGTTCAAGAGTAGGGTGGATTTGGAGCTTAAGGATATGCTGTAGATGGGAACTGTGCTAGAACGGTTGGACTAGATGATCTCCAGGGTCCTTTCCAACCTAGATGGTTCTGTGATACATGCATATACATATAAGGTGTTTATCTAAATAACATAGGAGTTGTTGGCTGATCACAGCTCTTCAGAGTTATCAAGTCTTGCAGTGTCTAACCTGCCCTGAAATCTAAAACTGAAGGAAAGCAGATGTGTACACTTTTCATGTGTATTCCTACACGTGGTTTGAAAGCAGGTACTCTGTGAAGGGTTTTTGTTTAGTTGTTGCGTTAATTTTTTTCACAGGTTGCTACAGTGACAGAATATGGGGCATTTATAAAAATCCCAGGCTGCAGGAAACAAGGTTTGTTTCTCTGATTTTGTTCAGGCATGGTTTTGTGTTGGTGTGTTTGAGCCAAGCAGTCATCCTTGGAATTAAAGGCTTGCTAGCTTTTAGAAAAATCTCAGAAAAGGTGGTGGTTTTTTTTTTTCTAAATTAGGAAGAAATTGAGGCTCTCAAGAAGTATTTAGAATGTGATGGTTTCCATGAATACCCAAAAGACTCAGAGGGCTTTTTTTTGTAACTTCAGGATATTTTAGAGTCATTTTAAAGTACTGAACAAACCATAACAACTTTATACAATTAGTTTGCCTTATAAATGAGCTAAGTGAAAAAGGCTGAAATGAAGCTCAACTGAAAAATAAACCAGGAAAGTTGACTTAAAGCTCTTTCTTCATTTGTGGGAAACCTGCGAAGTCAAACAAACTCATTTTACAAAAGAAGCAGCTTACAGCAGATGCTGGTAGGCCCACAAATAACCCCTCCCCTACTCGCCTCCTGAAGTGCCCAGTCCCTGTAGAGCCAGTTCTAATAAAAGTTTTTGGACAGAAGCGTGGCTGCTGGAGTGAAGTCGCTCTGAGACACAAGCAAGCCCTGAAATACAAGTTTGAACAGCAAGGTGTGTTAACATATTTATCCTCTCTTGTATAACCCTGTGGCCCACATGTCATTTGTGCAAATGAAAAATACAGTTCTGGGGCTGTGTGACCTTGCAGGCACAGGAGTTTGAGGCAGCCTTGCTGTTTTATGCTTTAGACTTTGCCAGCAAAGCATTGTGTTGCTGATGCGTGAAATGGGCTCCTTGTTCTGTGGTGCTTGGGGTGGCCTCAGAGGACAGGCAGCAGAGGAGCAGTGTTTGTGCCTGCTACAGTTTTTCTGTGTGGGCACCTTCGGAGCACAAAGACGTTGCTTTGGGGGCCTGTTCTCTGAGTTAATTTGGAGCAGATCTTGATGAGCTTTTACATGTTTGATTGATGCAGCTGGTTGATTCTCACCTGCATAATGTACTGGAGGAAAGAAATGGTGAGTTTGCTTAGGACAACTGCTGAATATGGTCTTGTCTCCCAGAGCAGTGGTCTCCAAATGTTTTTGTTTGCGCACCTCCAGTGCACGATCTGTTAAAATCAGTTAACCCTATTTAAAAAAATTTTGACTATGCTTCCCCCAATATATGTCTATTAGTTACAAGTTATATACGTGTACTATTGTTGTACACATTATAATATATAATGTTACTAATGCTATGTATGCTGTAAGACATACTCAGAAATGAAAAAAGGAAGAGCTGAAGATAAAATAACCACTATTAATTTTATCATTCTATTTATTAATAATACAAAAATACTTCCTTCCCACACCCCAAAAGATTGTCTCACATCCACCCCACTGTGGAGACTGCTGTCCTAGAGAGCAAAACTGAAATTCAGTGAAGACTTGCCTTTATTTTTTTCCCTTTCTTCTCTTCCAAAACCTTGGCCAGGCCTTGTCCATAAGACTCACATGTCTTCCTGCCGTGTGGATAAACCCTCAGAGATAGTGGATGTTGGAGACAAAGTATGGGTGAAGCTTATCGGAAAAGAGGTAATGTTAACTCATTTCTTTACTGCTGTGTAGATAAAATGTACTGTAAAACCCCTGAGAAATACTGTGTGCAGAGGCTGTGTGTTCCTGTCTCTTTGCTGGGGTTTGACAGGCTCTCTTTTATGGACAGGTGAATTCTCTTTACCTCCAGATGTGACTTTGGGCAGTTTGCTTCTGTGACTCGCAACAATGCAGTTCAGAAAAAGGGAATTCATACAAGCTTTTGGCTTAAATGCTTCCTTTTCTGCCCCTGCAAGCCCTTTTGCAGCTTGTATCAACATAACTGATTTGGTGGCTAAATGAACAATTTGAGACGATCTCAGGATAAGAGCTCATATAAACACAGTTCATTAACTGTTTTGAGAGACGGGTGCGTTCTTAGAAGAAGCTGAGATTTTTGTTTGGTTTTACGAAGATATCAGGCAGTGAATTATGCTCAAAAGAAAATACAGAGGCTTTTTATTTGTTCTGAAGTACGAGCATTATACGTTTTCCCCCCCTCTAGAATCTACATTGCTTTTTCTTCTGCAGAAGATGTGACAGTAGGCATGTCGTCTGTATTTAAAGATTACTTGGAACAAAAAATGAAGATTTTTGCTGTGGTGAGGCATGGAAACAAAACAGACTGACTATATTTTGTTGAGCTCAAGGGGGAAGGATTCAGTTCAAAGTTGCACAGGATTTGGCTATAAATGCTTCGCAATTTTTTTTGGAAGAAGATAATCAAGTTGTACAAAAGGATTTAATTTTGTGAGAGATGAGACAAATGAGTGGAGAAACTTGGTTTGATTTACACAGTGTAGAAAAGCTATGAAAGGCTTCACAGATTCTTTTTAGCCATCTGTGGTGTGCTTTTTTTAAAAAAAAAATTTGTATAATTTTCTATTAAATTACTCTTTTTCTTTATGTGGAACACAACTGTTGGGCTCCTGGCTTCTTTACTGTAGAGGCAAGGGGCAGAAGTGTGTTGGAGAGCTGAGTAGTGGAAGAGTTCATTGCTAAATTACTTACAAATAACTGTATGGATGTCAACAACAGACAAAAGAGAAATACCTTCGATAGCAGCATTGGTGAAAATGTAGAAAGTATTAAGAAAGTCTTAAAAAAACCCAAAAAATAAATGTGCAGCTTTTGCTCTTGCTTCTGAAGTGATAATGTGGCAATCAAGGACTTACTTGGATTCAGAAAAGAATAAGCCCCTAATAGAGATACTTAAAACATTTTTAGTCTTGTAAGAGGATCAAAACAGGAAAAAGGATATCAAGTTTTGTTTTTCAGGATGCAGGTTGGCCAAAGTACTGTTTAGGGGGAACTGTCCTGGGGATGGATGATTTGAGAATTACAGCAAAGCTTCCAAATGTGCACTTTCTTCTACAGCTCTTAGGTTTGCTCTTATTGAAAGCAGAATGTTAATCTGAACAGACCTTTAGTTTGAGCTTGTCTAATTCCAGAGGTAGCTGGTTTGTGAGCTAGGGTGCTCTAAATGCAGCTACAAAATAACAGGAAAAAAAGCACCTCCATGTAGTTTCCTTTGTTTGCTCTTTGCGAAACAACAATTTTCTTCCTTCTCTATAGGCTCCAGAGACAGCGTATTAATGGAGATCCCTGTCATTTACTCCTCTTGTTCCACATCTTCCCCTTTCAGATGAAGGATGACAAACTGAAGCTTTCACTCTCCATGAAGGTTGTTAACCAAGGAACGGGAAAAGACCTTGATCCAAACAATGTTTCCCTTGAGTAGGTAAATCTTCTAAAGCCAGTATAACAAATCAGACAGGTGGCTGCTGCCTGCTTTTCCCCGGCTTTCCTGCCATACTTATACTCTAGGTCGTCCCCCCCTCTGGAGTGTGAGGGGGACTCTGAGCCCCACAGCGATGCGTGGGGGAGGATTGACTGAAGGCACTCCCTTGGTTGTGCTGCCTAGAGGCAGGCAGGATCTGGAGGAGGCTGCAGGGAGTTCCAGCCCTTCACACCACGGCAGGATTTTAATTCTTGTGTTGTGGTGGCAGTGCACTTATACTGGAAGGACTGGTCATTCCAGATGGGATTTGTCTTGCTTTCACATACTATGAAATCTAATCTTAACTGCTCGGATGTTTCAGAGCTTCCTTCTCTACCTTTTTTTGTGACGTATCTTGCAGGTCAAATAAAATTGATTTACTTTTCATAGTGTACAATTATGTATCTGTGTATATACTCACATACATAATACAGATGTTGGTATAAAGCATGTAACTGCAGCTCCCCACGTTTGTGTGAGAGTTAATCTCAGAAGATGAACATGCTGTGAACAATGTGGTTTAGTCTAGCGAGCAGTTGGTCAGCTCCATTCTTTGCTTTAGCTGATTAAGTCGTGATTTTAGAGCAACACGTGAAAAAAACTTTTGTTTAGATTGTGTCCATATAAATATACTGTGTTAAAGAGGAGGGTGGATTGAAAATGGAACTGTCCTTTTCTTTCCAGTCAGGACGAGAGGAAAAAACGCACATTCAAAGACTACACGAGTCAGAAGATCACGCTTGAAGCTGTCTTGAACACTGTGTGCAAGAAATGTGGTTGCAAAGGTACGTTCATGCAGCGTTGTCTGAGCCTTGTTCTGAGCAGGTGGTGACCTGTATATAGGATTGTATTGGCATCTGTCTCATAGTTGTGTATAAGGACTGAATTTTGCTGAATTACATTTTCTGTCACTTGTTACAAAAAGGAAAAGTCTTAGAATCCCAGAATCGTCTGGGTCGGAAAAACCCTTGAAGCTCCTCCAGCCCAACCATGACCCTCACCCTGACCGTTCCCAACTCCCCCAGATCCCTCAGCGCTGGCTCAGCCCAACTCTTCAACCCCCCCCAGGGAACCCGGGGACTCCCCCCTGCCCTTGGCAGCCCATTCCAACGCCCAACAGCCCCTTCTGCACAGAAATCCTTCCTCAGAGCCAGCCTGACCCTGCCCTGGGCAGCTTGAGGCCATTCCCTCGGGGCCTGGCGCTGGCTCCTTGGCTCCAGAGACTCATCCCCCCTCTCTGCCCCCTCCTGGCAGGGAGTTGCCGAGGGCCAGGAGGTCTCCCCTCAGCCTCCTCCAGACTGACCCCCCCCAGTTCCCCCAGCCACTCTTTGTAAGACATGTGAACTTAGCTGAACTCTGTTTACAGAAGTTTGTTTCGTAAAATTGCACCCCTTTGCACTTCCTGTAAAGATCCCTCCTACAGAGTACAGGTGCAGTACAGGTTCCTTTCTTGCAGTATTTGTGTTAATGTGTCTTAGAGCTGAGGTCTCATTCCAATTTTGCATTTTAAGATAATAAACATAGATCTTCACCTTATCATTCCATGATGAAGAACCATCGGTGGAAATCACTGATGAGATATTGGGAACACAGTGTTAGCTTGTGAGCCCTGTTTTAGAGCTGAAAACTAGTGCTTGTTTGGCTTTTTTGGTGAAATTTATGTGTTCTGCCTAGTTCAGCAATAGGAAGTTAGTTTATGTGATGCCTCTTCAGTAGCTTTTTGCAAGTTGCTGAGGCATAAAGTTCTTTTTACATGGAGATTTTGCCGTACCCTACTTGTCTTAGGTTATTTAGTCATAGAATGAATAGTTAAGCTGGAGTTAATGATATTCTGGAGAGGGTTAATAACAAGTGTGGTTCTCTGTTAGTGGTAGATAATGATCTTTAAAATACCAAGCCCCTAAAACTTTAAACTGGATTCTGCATATTTCCAGTCTGCCTTTTAATGAAGATATCTACTCATAACAGGCAGGCAGCTGCTATCTATCAGCAGTTTCCGCTGCAACTGTTAGTAGGTCAACTTTGTCTCCAGAGTAGAACCAGAACGAGCTGATTTCCACTGTTTGTCAATTTGGTCTCATTTACCAGGTGCCTGTAACACAAGTTTACTCCCTTTCCCACACACTTTTCCATGCTGTTTAAGCCCCTGCACAGACACGTTTCTACCAATTGCCCTGTTCAGACACGAGTGTCTTAGCTTTTCCCTGACTAATCTTCCCAGAATGACCTGGGTTGCGTTCGCTCCCCAGTTTGTTTAATCAGGGCATGTTAAAGTAGTTGAAATGCCAGGACAAAAAATGTACAGTGTAGATTCTCTTATTGTGACTAATAACAAAAAGATCACTGGCAGAGCTTCAGATGTCTGAAATGCAACTGTAAAAAAAAAAAAAAAAGGCAGTGGGTTGCTCCTTCAAACACTGTTTTACAGGTCATTTTGCCAAGGAGTGTTTTGTGCAGCCTGGAGGTACCAAATATAGCCTCATTCCAGAAGAGGAGGAAGAGGAGGTGGCAGCAGCAGGGTGTGAAAGAGATAAAAAGACCAGCATGGGTGACGATTCTTCAAAAAAAAGGAAAAAGGTACGAGGTGCCCTACTGCTGGCCTCAAAAAGTGAGCTAGATAATTTGTTCTGTATAGTTACACTTGTGATTTACTATAGCAACATGGTTATGAGTAACCAGTTGTGGTCTGAAAGGGTGGCTCAGGTTTGTTCAGGTTCTGTAGCAAAACAGGAATCTCCTCAGCAGACTTCAGTAATTCTTGTGCTTTCTCCTTTTATTCTTGTTAAACTGTCTTTAAGATGATTTGGTGCTATAATGCACAGTCCTCAAAAGAGATTTCTTACAGTGAGAAAAGGAATTTTTTTTCTTGCTCTTTGTGAAGCTCTATAGAAATTGCTTCAGTTTCCGGAATTTTTGTGATTCTTACCAATAACCCTGTTTCCCCTCCCGTCTCACTGCTCTTGCCCTAACACCTCTGTAATCTGAGCTGAATGCCCTGCTGCAGCGGGTATCCCGACCCAGCCTGTGCAGTGGGAACTAGGCTTATCTGCGCAGGCCAGGGGAAAATTGCTGCCTGTGTTTGCAGAGGGAGTGTGCTCCTTTTCCAGGCTCTAAAGCAATTTTTGTCTACGTGAAAATGTCAAGAGGTAAGAGACCTTTTACATGCAGTGTTTGAACTTTGGCTTCAGAGCAGGCTGGTATACTACATAGGGGAGACCCGAATCCAAAACTGAGTGTTTGGTCAGTCTCTTTATACAGCAGTGAGCATTCCAGTTCCAGGCTTCAGTAAACAAACTGTTTGATCAGCCCCTTCACAACTGGTGTCCAACTTTTAATTATGCTTCCAAAACCCCCCCCTTTTTTTTTTTTTTTTTTTTTTTCTTTAGCCCTGTGGCCTGTCTGTATCCCTGGAGGGGGCAACAGGGGCAGCAAAGGTGGTGGATTTCCTTTTTATAGGAGAGGGACAAGGACCGTGTTAGCAATTGCATAGTGAGAACTAACTTCTGAGGGCTTAGTTCTCCTAGGCTCAGTGTGGAGTGTACTGGTGCTAGTAGGAGAGACTGCAGATGCTGGCAACAGGGAATGGATGAGTCTCTTTTGATGGCAATGCTCAGACAAATCTGGAATGACTCACGCTGATAGCTGAATTCTCACTTCCAGTCGTGTTTTTCACTGGTATTGTGGTTTGTGGCACTCTGTACACTCCTGTTAGAGAGAGGAGTAGCTGGGGCTGTTTGTGGGATTGTAGGTGGTGACTGCACCAGCCAGGTGTGTGACCTTCCTTGTGTCAGCCCCTGCCTTGTGGCATACCTGTTTCTGCCCCACAGTCAGTACAAAATAAAGTTAGTGTTGATCCAATACTTGATTCCAGCTTCTTGATTGCTCACTAGTGCTCTGGATGGCTCTGACCCAGTAGCAGGGACAGGATCTCTCTTGACCATAGATCCTGTTGCCTGGTTCCATCCCAAGATGTGCTTTGCTTTCCCACTGTGTGGGCTTTTACCCAAGAATGCTTGCGCTTGTCTGCGGAGTGTCGTTACACTGCAACAGAAAATACACGTGGTGGTCTTTCTGTTCTGATCTCGTGAGCACAGACCTCTGACCTCTCTGGCTGTTGGGTTCCTCTCTTGCCATGGAGCCATGTGAGAGCAGGCATGGGCAACTCCTCAGCAAGGCTGGCTTCTCCAGCCTTGGGTTCTCTTCCTTCCAGCAGTGATGGTGGTTTGTCTGGGAAAGGCTCATATAACTGCTGTTTAAATGCTTCCAGGAAAAATTATGCTAAGAGGTGCTCAAATAGCTTGTTATCATATCAGTGCCCATCCACCAGCTTGGGGATTCCCTGTGGAGTCTTGCCCTGCTGGGACTACAGGATATGTGGGTCGCTGTCCTGAATTTGTTACTGGCTTGTTGGGGGTCTGTGGATTAACAGCCTTCCTTTAAATCTTGCTTGTTCCTTTGATCTTCCTCCCTTCTCAAGGAGGAGATCAAAAGTTTTCAGATGTTTTCCAGTGCTGGAAAATAAAACTTTGAGCTTTTTGGAGGCAGGATGTGGGATCCTCAAAATGAATAGCTCCCTTGTCTGGAGTGCCTGCTGTGATCTTGTCTGGGAGCCACCATATGCTTCCCTGCTTGCCTGGAGCCCCAGAGGGATTTACACAAAGTGGAAATAGCTCAGTCTACCTAGTTACAATTGCCTTGCTGACCCCATCCCAGCCAGTGCTTGTAATGCAGAGCTTGTATTTTTAAATGAGTAGGCAGGGAAGTGCTAGCTACGAGCATCCGTTCAGTGTCACAGCAATGGTATTAACATGATCATGTTGTTCATGATCAGCAGTTTCCGCTTCCTTCATCTGATGCTTCCTCGCAGTTTGAGTGCTTGTTCCTCTCCCCAGAGGTTCCTCTCCTTATGGAGATACTTTGCAGTCCTCACCTCCTCATTTCTCATCTTGCCTTCCCAGTGGTCCCTCAGTTCCTCACTTCCCTCCTGCCTGAGCCCCACAGGATGAAGAGACAGCTCTAGGCTTCAGGTCTCTGCACTGACACAGGCTGCTGCTGTGACTGTGGGCACAAATCTTTGTAGTGACAGATCTCCCTGTTAGCTCTCCCCTCCAGAGCACTGTCTTGCCTCCCGTAATCCCCGAGAAAGGAAGGGGCTGGAGGGAGAGGCAGCACTGTGTGGAAGTCTGGCTGGCAGCTGCCCTTGGCTGTGGCCTCTCGCTTCTCTCCGGGTCGCAGGGTGAGGCAGCTCCTATGGGAACGCGGCAGTGGGGCTGTGCTGAGCCTGCGTGGGAGGGAGGCGTGCTGGGAAGAAACGAGCCCTTCTGATTCTTCTTTCTTTTTCTTTTGAGAAAAGATGGGCGGTTGTGACAGCAGGAGTGTAACCCCTTTAAATTCTACAAAAGCATCCCATCTTCTCCTCAGAAACATCAGTTAACTTATCCCTGGGGTACTTTTGGGACAGTCACTGGAGTTGCATAGTGAGTGTGACCTGTGATGGCTTTTCAGCAGACTTTGCTGCTTTCTCCCACCGTGTAAAAAGTGTACAAGATTTCCAGGGAATCTGCTTGCAGTTGTTGTCTCCTCCTGTACTAACTCACACCACCTTAACTGCTGTTTGTTCAACGGCCTGTAGTTCATCAGGCCTTGGTCCCTTCTCACTTGCAGCTGGTACTTGTTTTACCTGTTCTTACATGGTATTAGCTTAGGGCACAGCTCTTCACACACTATGCTTGTCTCTTACTGGCTTTATCTGTGCTTTTCTGAACTTTTCTGTCTTTATTTATCATCCACAGACTGGATTCTTCTCATCTGAATAATTCTGACTGATTCTTAAACAAGGGATGCAATAATACCTTTAGATTTATGTAATGAATCTTGTTTGGAATTACACTGGGTGGTGGAATTCTGCTTTTTTTCTTTTTAAGAATATATTTTTCTTCTTTTTAAGAAATAAAAAACCCTAGAAGGATTACTGGTCCCTCTCTGGAGATGCAGAAAGATAGATAGATAGAGAGAGAGAGAGAGAGAGAGAGAGAGAGAGATATGGAAATCTATTCTAATTTTTCACAAGGACACACATAAGGTCTCTGAGTGAGACCACAACTGCACAAAAGGGTCCAGTGAAAAATATTTAAACTTCTTGGAGAGTTCTGGACACTCCCCTCTTATCTCAAAATCAAATACCTTTAGAAGGAATGAGCTGCTGTCACATTCTTAAAGCATAGCCCCGAGCAGCTCTCCTTACAGAGGACAGGAGGAAGTGTACTGATGTGGCCCCCTCTTAGTGCCAGCTTTTGAAAACTAACTAGAGCAACAGGAAGACCAGCACTCTAACCCAGCTTATTGCACTGCTGCATGCCAGATCCTAGTGTGGGTTTTGTAGAGGAGAGATTTTTGAAGCAAGTTTGTTCTGTTTTGGTAGAATTGTAATTGTTGCATATATTGGAAAGGACACACAAGCAACTGTAACATGCAGGTCTTCACACCTGTTGGCCCTCTCTGCATCTTTAGGCTGAGTCTGCTTGGGCAAAATCCACTCCAAGTGTTTACACAAATGCCGTGTTTGCAGTTCTGGGGGAGTGCCTGGGTGTGCCTGAGAGCCCAGTGGAGCTTCATCCATCAGCAGCCCTCAGTTCTGGAGAGCAATTTGAAGCTCAGGGGTGCAGCAGGGCTTTGCTGCTGTTGCTGGAGGCAGAAATCTGGCCTTTGCTTTGGCACTGCCCTCCCACATGTGAACTAGAGAAACGCTCCTGCTTGCACAATAGTGACTCAACCGGTAACCAGCGGAGTGCTTGTTGCCCAGTACCAGGATGCTGGAGTTCCAAGAAGTTGGTGGCCTAATAGGATGCTGCTTGCGCAGAATGATTTCGCAGCAGCCCTGCTTCCTGCTACAGAAAATGCTAAGCTCTTTGTTGCTGGCTCCCTCCCTGCAGTATTTGGAGACCAGTGTGTGTTTATAAGCTCTGGTGCTTGCATTACTGCACTGAAAGTATTTTTTCGGTGTTGGTGTGAGCAGTTTGGCTGTCAGAAGCCCCCAAAAAGGGAAGACTCAGGGTTGTTTTTTTTTTCGCCAGCACAATGTCCACGTGTGTTCTTTCATTTCCCCCTGTAATCCTGAAGGAACATGTGTGACATCCTGTCCTGTCTTCAGCCTTCACATGCTGAGAAAGTTTCCCAAGCTCTGGAATGAAACCATGTTAGTTGTTAAGGTCTTGTCAAACTTTCTCACCATGTGCACAGACTGGAAAAGCTTGAGAAAATTCTCCTTGCTGCATCCCTTTCTCCAGCAGATTTAACTCTTTACCATCCTCTTCTTCTAAAGACTGTTAGGATTTGCTTCTGCCCTTCATCTGTGTGTAGGGGACTTTGTAGTGACTCTGGTATTGTCCCACAGAAAAATGTAGACACTCAAATGTTGGTTGACATCAATGATCATAGTGCTGTTGGGGAGCTACGAAAACCTGGTATCTACCAGGGGTCTGCTAGGTGTGGAGTGAACTCAATCCCCTGCCCTCTTCCCTGCAGAGGACTAAATATCTTTGCTTGATGTTCCCCTCCAAGCCCCGCATTGTCTTTACTCTTCCACTTCCCTAAAAGAGTTGTTCTGTTTCATGTTAAATAAGCTGCTAGCTCCCTTCCTTTGTTGTCCCTAATTGATAGTCTGTATCTGGTGCTATGACACACAATCTGTGCTAAATTGATGTCTTTAGCTGAGCCGCCTTTGTCCCCACTCTTCTGGGAGAGTATGTTGTTTTTAAATGAAATGTAGACAGTCTCAGCTTGTCTTCCTGTAAGCCAGTATATTAATCCTCATACAGAAACTGCGCTTGTCTGGAAGTGGCTGAAGCTAAGGGAAGAAAGGTCTTGTGGGGAGGAGGGGAGAACCCAGCCTCCTCTCTGCATTGGGACACTTCTTTTTCCCCAAGCAATTTTAAGACAATTAGCCTTTCAGGGAAGGGATTGCAGGTGGCACAGGGGGGCTACCAGCAGCCCTGTGCTGTTAATGCACTCCTGAATAGGCAGACTTGGCTTTAATGTGCTTGTCTGCCTTGGTGAGCTACTGAGCACCTCCAGGCCTGGAGCAGATGATGATACAGGGTCGAGATGTAAAAGTCAGTTACTGCAGGAGATTTCTCCCCCATCTTTGCCTCATTTTTCATGCTGTGTTTAGCAGCTGCTTCTGGCTTTTGTTTCGAACTGATGAGTGCTGATTGCTTAGCGTGGCTTTCTCTGGGTGAAGATGCACATGATGCCTATCTTGGGCTCCCTTCTGTGGAGAGAGTTTTCTTGAGGTGGATGCTTTCCAATCCATTTCCAGCCAGGGTGGTTCTTTTCCCCTGGGTGGGGTGGGTGTGTCACAGGCCTAAGGCAGCACCTGTGGGTGCCCGAGGGAGGAGGGAGTATCTCACGCTGGACTGGTATCAGCGCTGGGTTCAGAACTTTAGCTCCCATGGCCAGCCTGTGCCGTGCCTGGTCGTGTTGGAGCAGCTGGAAATACTTGTCCACATCAGTCATCCTGATTTTGTACAGGTATCTCATGCGTATCTGTGGCTGATTGCTGTTGTTCCCTTCATTTAATCGTGTTTGGTTTCTCTCCCTTGGTTTAGCTTCCAGGGTGGTTGTAGATGTCTGCAGCAGCTGGCCAGGGAGGGCTCGTCCTGCCTGTAGTCCTGTGACGGGCCTAACTGTGCCCTTGACCTTGCTGCTCCGTTCTGTTTCCTCATGAAATGAATGTGTGGCACTAATAGCCTTGCCAAGGCAGGGGGGGACTTAGAGCAAACCTCTCCCACTAGAGCTCTCAGCAAGCCCAAGGGTGGCCTTGAGGTCACTGGGGACACTTGGCAAAGAAAACACGCCGAGGTGTTGGCTTGGGAGCTCCAGGCTTCTTTCATTACACTCTGTTCCGAACATAAACCACGTTTGTGTTATGTCTGGGACTGTCACCTGAGCGCTGTCAGTCTCCCATTGTGCTGCTGCCCAGAGCCTGAGCACAGTCACGCTCTGAACAAGCCGTCGTTCAACCTCTTTCAGTTGGAGAGGTGGGGATGGAAATTTGGCTTTTTGTCTGGCTTACCAAGACTCCTTTTCCTGGGCTAGTGATGCCTTGAAGTGAATACCCTGGGCTTCTCCTGCCCACTGGCACAGGCTTGGCAGGCTGTTCCCTCTGCTGAGGGAGAGCTCAGCCCTCCAGAGGTGGTGGGCAGGAGGCAGTGCCATGGCCACGGCTCCTTCCTCATGTGCTGCTTCGAGAGCTTGCTCTGACCCCAGCATGGGATGGCACCAGTCTACAGGAGAGGCATGCAATCAAGATAAAGCATGTGCAGGGGGAAAGGAGCTGTGTCTAGGGGATAAAACCTCACCTAGCACTGCGGGCAGCAGTACCTGTATCGCTGACATTTGGCTGTGTAGTTAAACTACAGCAGAGAATAGGATGCTGGTTTGCAGCAAGTTTGGGGAAGATTGCACCAGTCTTACGAGTGCACCCCTTCTAGAGCAGCGAGCACACGTGGGTCACCGGAGAGGTGCAGCTGGCTTTAAGCAAAAATGCTGGTAGAGGGTTTAGTCAGAGCAGCAAGCTCTGCTCGCTGGGTTGCATTCCTCGCTGGTAGTGGTTAAGCCTATCGCAGGCAGTCGCGCGGGCTTGGGTTGCCTTGCTGACCCATCTCTGCTTCATGAAAGCCTTTTTGCTTCTTTCCTTACGTCCTCTTTGTCCCTGAATAGAATGAAAACTCACAATAGCCGTTTGCACAGGAAGGTCTCTCTGATGTTGATGTGACCGTGGATGAGATCAGTGGATCCTCCTTGGAGGCCGGTGTTGCTGGGCTTGACACCCTTACTGATCTTAGCAATCTGGAAATGCTTATATTAATGCTTATATTAAATATATGCAAAATACTAAAATTACTTTTTTTAATGGGCTCTCTTGCCTGCATGCTGCTTTCCTTTACTTCCCAGAACCAAGGGGCGTTAGAGAAAATACCTGATTTTTGCAGGACAGTCATTTCTTTTTCAAAGCATCTTCCTAAAATATACCTGAAAAAAATATCTTCCATCTTGTTCCAAGGGTTGGTCTATGCGATGGTTTTGCAGGTATTCAGAAAATGAGGAAGGTGAGTGAGTTGTGCAGGGATCGGATTTGGATGTTTGTTTGTGCTTCCTGAACCACTTGTTCCTGGCTCTGGGACCTCTCAGACCAGCGCTGGCCACCTCTGGTGAGGCTCACTGAGCCCTCAGCCTGCCCTGGTGCTCAGAGGGCATGGCCAGCTCCTGAGAGCTGTGGCCAGCACTACTACTTCTTCTCCTCCTCCTCCTCCTCCTCACTGGAAGGGGGTGAAGCAACAGGCAGAGCGGTGCTACCAGCTGTGCTGCGTGTGCTGCCAGCACAGGTACGTCAGGTCCTCTCCCCAGTACTGCTTTCTAATGAAATATATGCAAATTGCTGTACTGCATCATTAAATAGTCTTTATCTGTTTTGGGATGCTCTGTCTGCAGCAGTTCCAGTGGAAGGTGTGCCATGGTGCCCACCTCAGAGTAATCTCTGCTTGGCAGTTAGTCAGATGCCTCAAAATTGCAGGTTTAGATCCATGTCAAAGTTCCTTATGAGCTTTATTCCAGCACTAGCTGTTCTTACACTGCATCTGAATGTCAGGTCTTGAGCTCTGTGTGGCTTTTGCTTCAGGGCTTTGCAGAAACACGGCCCAGGGGGCTCAGTGCGGTTCCCCCCTGACTCTTGCCTGTGTGCAGGGGGGAGAGAGTGGGAAGCTGCGGGAGCAGGAGGGGATGCAATCGTCTTGGGGATTGTGCAAAGAATTTCTGCTTGCAAAAGGGCACTTTCCTCACCCTCACTCCCCCCCCCCCCC